TGGCCGGTCCCCTCTCCGCCTCTGCCAGGGCGTCTTGGGAGTCCTCCTCAGCCCACGATGGAAAGGGAGAGAGGGAGGGCTGGGGCGGGAAGCGGCGGCTGGTTGTTGCTGCTGCCGCCACAGCAGAGGGATCCACCGGAGAGCCGGGCGAGCCAAGATTACCACGCTGGGCGGCTCGCTTCGCCTCCAGCAGCCGCTGCTCGGGGCTTCTGCATTTCCCTCCCCGGCGTTCCTTCCCTCACAGCCTCGGCCAACGCGAAGGGGGATATTGGGTGGGGGTGGGAGCTCAGAAGCCCCCGCCGCCCCGAGAGCTCCAGGGAGGGAGGGAGGGAGGCGAGCTGGACCGAGAAGGAAGAGCCGCGGCTCCAAGTCCGAGATGCGTCCCTCGAGAGCGCCCGCCGATTGCGGGAGGAGTAGCAGCAGCAGCGGCAGCAGCAGCGGCGGCGGCTCCCCCTGCAGGCCGCGTCGGGAATTGCTCCCTCGTTTCCACCATCGGAAGGAGAGGCGGAGAAGCGCGGAAGGAACGGGCCTTCGCGTGATTCATGTTGTTATTATTACTATTTGTAGAGCCAAAGCGGGCACCGTGGCGGCCAAGCAAACCAACTCCTTTTAATATTCTTTATTGGTATAGTCATATTTTACTGGGGAAACGGTCTTGTATGAAACCCCCACTCCAAAAGGAGGAAGGTTTGACGAGGTTAGCCACTTCACAATTTCATCCAGCTAGCAATAGGAGTGCCAGAAGGGAGGCGGGTTTACATACCTCCCACCCACCCCTGCTGCCACAGTGCACTTCCACATCCAGTTTATTGGATCTGAATCATCAGATGCAAATTTAAAAGGGGCTGTAAGCTCAGGTCTGCAGAGACAGAAATTAACGCCATTAAAATCAAACAGACTGACTTTGCAGAAAATTGGCTTAGGAGAAATGCCTTAATTTAGATACACATATTTTTCCTTTTTTAATGTTCTCGTTAAGTTGTGTCCGACTCTTTGTGACCCCATGGACCAGAGCACGCCAGGCCCTCCTGTCTTCCACTGCCTCCCGGAGTTTGGTCAAATTCATGTTGGTCGCTTTGATGTCCAACCATCTTGTCCTCGGTCGTCCCCTTCTCCTCTTTCCTTCACACTTTCCCAACATCAGGGTCTTTTCCAGGGAGTCTTCTCTTCTCATCAGATGGCCAAAGTATTGGAGCCTCAGTTTCGGGATCTGTCCTTCCAGTGAGCACTCAGGGTTGCTTTCCTTCAGAATGGATAGGTATGTTCTCTTTGCAGTCCAGGGGACCCTCAAGAGTCTCCTCCAGCAGCACAATTCAAAAGTATCAATTCTTTGGTGGTCAGCCTTCTTTATGGTCCAGCTTTCGCTTCCATACATCACTACTTGAGAAACCATAGCTTTGACTATGAGGACTTTTTTCGGCAAGGTGATGTCTCTGCTTTTTAAGATGCTGTCTGGGTTTGTCATCACTTTCCCAAGAAGCTGCAAGTGTCTTTTAATTTCACGGCTGCTGTCACCATCTGCAGTGATCACGGAGCCCAAGAAAGTAAATCTGTCACTGACTCCATACCTTCCCCTTCTATTTGCCAGGAGGTGATAGGACCAGTGGCCATGATCTTAGATTTTTTTAAAATGTTGAGCTTCAGACCATTTTTGCCCTCTCCTCTTCACCCTCATTAAGAGGCTCTTTAATTCTTCTTCACTTTCTGCCATTAGAGTGGTATCATTTCCACATCTGAGCTTGTATTTCTTCTGGCAATCTTAATTCTGGTTTGGGATTCATCCAGTCCTGCCTTTCACATGATGTATTCTGCATATAAGTTAAATAAGCAGGGAGACAATATACAGCCTTGTTGTATTCCTATCCCAATTTTGAACGAATCACTTGTTCCATATCCAGTTCTAACCGTTGCTTCCTGTCCTACATATAGATTTCTCAGGAGGTAGATAAGGTAGTCAGCCATTCCAATTTCTTTAAGAACTTCACATAGTTTTTTGTGGTCAACATAGTCAATGAAGCAGAAGTAGATGTTTTTCTGGAACTCTCTAGCTTTCTCTATAATCCTGCACATGTTAGCAATTTGGTCTCTAGTTCTTCTGTCCCTTCAAAATCCAGCTTGTACTTCTGGGAGTTCCCAGTCCACATACTGCTGAAGCCTACCTTGGAGGATTTTGAGCATAACTTTGAGAGCGTGTGAAATGAGTGCAATTGTACGATAGTTGGAGCATTCTTTGGTACTGCCCTTCTTTGGGATTGAGATGTAGACTGATCTTTTCTAATCCTCTGCCCACTGCTGAGTTTTCCAAACTTGCTGGCATATTGAATGTAGCACCTTAACAGCGTCATCTTTTAAGATTTTAAATAGTTCTACAGGAATGCCATCACCTCCACTGGCCTTGTTGTTAGCCATGCTTTCTAAGGCCCACTTGACTTCACTCTCCAGGATGTGTGGCTCACGGTCAGCAACCACACTATCTGTGTTGTCCGGGACATCCAGATCTTTATGGTATAATTCCTTTTTGTATTCTTGCCACCTCTTCTTGATGTCTTCTGCTTCTGTGAGGTCCCTACCATTTTTATCCTTTATCATGTCCATTGTTGCACAAAATGTTCCTTTAATATCTCCAATTTTCTTGATAAAATCTCTGGTTTTTAACTTTCTATATTTTCCTCTATTTCTTTGCACTGTTCATTTAAGAAGTCCCTCCTGTTTCTCCTTGCTATTCTTTGGAAGACTGCATTCAATTTTCTGTAACTTTCCCTATCTCCCTTGCATTTGATTTCCCTTCTCTTCTCTGCTGTTTGTAAGGCCTCGGTGGACAGCCACTTTGCTTTCTTGCATTTCCTTTTCTTTGGGATGGTTTTTGTTGCTGCCTCCTGGACAATGTTGCGAGCCTCTATCCAAAGTTCTTCAGGCACTCTGTCGACCAAATTTAGTGCCTTAAATCTGTTCTTCACTTCCACTGTTTATTCAGAAGGGATTTGGTTTAGATTATTTTGATTCGTTTTGAACTCCAAGGCGAGTTGAATTTGACCCAACTCTGTGAGGCAGTGGAAGATAGGAGGGCCTGGTGTACTCTGGTCAATGGGGTTAGGAAGAGTTGGACATGACTTAACAATTAAACAACAAAAAGACTGACTGACAAATATCCCAGCCCAAAAAGACCCCTTCCAGCCAAAACGTCTTTAAGGCAGCATACAATGGTTGCAATAATTCCAATACTATTTGCACAAAGGAAAGCAGAGTTACAGAACTTGAGCATCTCTTTGCTTCACTGCCAAAGAGCAATTTGAAATCTGATTCTACAACAGATTTAAACTGCCATGTTGCAACACTGGGTTCCACTCAGAGTGGCTTACTTACTGCTCTCCTAAAAGCAGCTCACTTGTTTGTTTGTGTTTCTTTTAAAGAATCATTAGATTTTGAAATACTGTATGGAGAATAGGAGAAGGAAGCAGGCTTGCTGTTCTAACTCTAGCCTCCTCTCTCCTTTACTTAAAGGATTGGATTAAACAATATCGGTGATATTGTACTCTTGGTCCACCAAGGGTATTTTGGGGAGTCATCAAGTTAAAATTTGCTTCCACATTAAAGCAAGGAAGCAAAACACTTTGCAGTTAATAAACCTGGCTCAAGGATTACCTTGATCAGTTAGATTCAAAAACCCACATTACTGTAATATTTTTATTACACACACATTAAAAGTTACAAAAAAAATGTACAAGCTTGAGTTCTCTGGATCTCTTCTTCATGAGGCAAGATGTTATAAAAAGCAGGAGGGAGGCACATAAGACTGAAAGTATGGCCCAACGCTTGAGATGGAATAAGGAAAGGTGGATGCAGAGGGAATTTGAAGAAGGCTGTAGCACAGGGGGCTTTCACACATCTACCCTGATCACTCCCACCCCCATTATCTCTTACATAACTGGGTCTTTTTCCCCTGAAGAAGCCCCTCAGAGCCATCAAGCAGCTGCATTTTATAAAAAAATTATATGG